CCAATTTCGTCAGGATCGACGCGGATGCTGCTGTCAGTTACAGCTGGCATGGGACGTCGTTGATCGTCCACCAGGTAAGTATGATGAACTTGACGAACATCGTCCGGATGAGCGTCGACGAGAGGAATGAATTCCGGAAATCCGGAAGAGGTGGTTGGTAAAGGTGGATCAGGAGCAGCTTCACGTGCACCGTCAACGTCAGGTTCTTCGCTGGCAGCAAGTTCGGCGTCAGCGCTGGCGAATGAACGAACACCGTGGAAAAGTGTAGCAGGGTCACGCTGCGTGGCGAGATACTGTTCGAAGACAGGAAGGGTCAGATTTTCGTAGAAAATACAGTCGCGGGCAGGAATTAAAAGACGACTGCGATAATCCAGGATACGCCAGGCAGAAAACTGCTTCTCAAGGCCGAGATGAAGACCCCACTTAGCGCGTCGATCGAACTTTCCGAGCGGAGCGGTGGGAGGACGATATTGCACGATACACCCAAAAACTCGAAGAAGTTTCGTAGTGCCCAATTTTCCTGTCCACAACAAGTGAGGTGATGCGTTGTTGGGTAGAGCCGATGAAGACAGGAGGTTATGCAACAGTGTTGCGTGGTCCATTGCGAAGGGCCAGTAGAGTGGGCCGAGTTGAGATTGTGCGAGTAGTGCTCGCATCTTTTCTTGCAGAGTACGACTGAGGCGTTCAGCTACACCGCTCTGTTGGTGAGCGTGAGGAAGTGAGAACAGGTGCCGTATGCCTCTTTCTTGCAGGTACGTTGTAAACTCGAGACTGCGATATTCCCCAGCTCCGTCACACTGGAAGGTTTTGAGTTTGGTGTCTGACTCGCGTTCTACGAGAGGCAGCCATGTCTGAAACGCTGTGAAGGCAAGAAAACGGTTAGTCATGTTACCAGTCCAGACATATCGAGTAGAAGCTTCAGTGAACATGATAACGTATTTCTCGCCATTGAAACCCTCCGCAGGTAAGTTTAGAATATCACTGTAAACTTTTTCCATCAATCGATAATCCTCAGCGCCAGGAAAATGAGTCGGGTATGGTTCGTGCGTTAGATTTGCTGCTGGGCAGATCAAGCAAGGTGACGGACGATTAACTGGTTTCATTTCGAGGCCGCCAGGTAAGAGAAGAGAATTCTTGTCGAGAACAGCTGCTTTGATTGTGTTGTTGAGAGTAGACTGCGACGGATGACCAAGACGCTTATGCCATGTGTCTGCAGTTGCTTTGTGTCCCTGTGCGCGCAGATAATAATCGGCGTTAACGAAGAAAGATAACAGCAGCCGATGACCGTCAGCGTGAACATGATCTGTGACAGGCGGGATGAACCTGGTAAGGTTAGGTGGTGGAATTTTGATTTCAACGTCGATGTATTCGCCAGGTGAAAGAACTAACTCCCCGCTCTCTTGATCTGATGCTGCAGGTTTAGGCTCAACGCCGACGAGTCGTCCGGAGTCGAGGACTTCCATGTCAGCGACACGCTGCTCTGCTTCAGTGAGAAGACGTCGGTCACGATCAGCAGGTGTTTCTCCCCAAGTGATCTCGTCAGGTTCCTGTGCCCCCCAAGCGCCTTCATCCGTGGGTATATTAGTCGTATCTCCCCAACCACCGACGTGAGCAAGATAATCTTGGGAGTTCTGGACGTCGTTCAAGCCTTGATTGTCGAAGGTCAGCATGGCAGCGGCAGCCGTGGTTGAAGACGTAGGTACGACTCCTTCACGAGGAACGTTATCATCGGTGTAATCGATGTCATCACGATGTTCCCATGGGCCAAGAGAGAGAATATTCTCGGAGTCGGCAGTGGTGCGTTCAGGTACGAAGTTGAGAACGAATACACCGTTCTGTTCGATTGCCGTGCCGAGTTTCCTGTCTCCATATTTTAAAGTAAACTTGCCCGGTTCACCAAGAAGAGTAATTCCATTCCTCATAAGCTGTGCAGATGACATCAGATTGAAGCCAAGTCAAGGAACGAGGAGTATATCGTCAAGATGAAGACTGAAGTCTTCTTCAACAGAATCAAGAATGATGTTACCCATCCAGTGTGCTGTAAGACGTTGATTGTTGGCGACGGTTACAACGCATGGATTCTGAAGACGACGTTGATTGATGACGAAGCGGTTTTCTGATGAACACATATGCTGGCCGCAACAACTGTCGAGATACCAAGTGTTGGGACCTTCCAAGGTATGTGCAAGGTTGGCGTAGACCTCAGGTGGTATGGGCGTATTGAGTTCATCATTGAAGTTATTATGAATACGTTCTTCAGCGTCAGGATCGTGGACGGTAGAAATTGACGTCATGCAATTAATAACCTCTTTTGCTTGTGTCTTGGCAGGTGTAGTAGGCGGCTTCGCAGAGTTCGGCTTCGCAGTATTCTGCTTCGCAGTATTCTGCTTCGCAGCTTCCGGCTTCTCAGCTTCACCTGAAGAATCTTTGGTATGTTTCGATGCATACCGCTTCCAAGATGGTTTATCCTTCGACCAGCAGGTATCAATAGTGTGTCCTGCTTTGCGACAAAAAGAACAAACGGGCTTGTGACGTGGATTAGAATAAAAACTGACTGTGTTGTTTACCACCTTTTTCCCTCCTCGAGCGTTGTGCAGGTCCATATCCTGCTGCTCGGCAATGAGAGCGGCACAGAGTGCCCCCTCGGACAACTGTGCTTGCATCCGGAGAATAGAGCGACACTGTCGCCATTCTGGTCCAAGACCCGCCAGTAGCACCGTGTGAAACATAGCGTCGGGGAAGTATCCTCCACACTTCTGAAGTTGGTCGCGCAGATTTCGAGCGTGGTTGATATACTGCGTCACCTTCTCGCCGTTTATCATCTGTATATTTGACAGCTGCGTTAAAATTTTACTCTGGTTGACAGTGTCCTTTGCCATGTGAACCCCTTGCAGGTATAACCAAGCTGCTTCAGCGGGAGCGGCACTGGTACGAAAAGGACGAATACCAAGCTGTTCAGTCGGTGTCAGATTGCGAACGAGAACTGTGTATGCAGTCAGCGACGCCGATCGAAAAGTGGCTTGTTGAAGTGGTGAGCCGTGAGATGGAAACGGTGCTGTACCGTCGAACAATTGCCAGAATCCCGCGGTCTGAACAAGAAGCTCGAATTCGAAACTCCAGGTATAGAAGTCTTGACCGTTAAATGGCATTGTCGTTTTAATCTTTGTTGGGTTTGCAATAGCAGGAAGATAGTTTCCGGTGCCGTCAGTTGAATGTAACTGATAAAGTGATGGCATCTGTGACCCTTATGGTGTTTGTTGTCCTTGTCCAGCAGGAACGAAAGAGAAGGAGTTATTCGACCCGTCGCTTCCTTGTGGCATCTGTCCATGCTGATAACTGGAGCCATCAAGACTCATAGGAGTTGGAAACATCTGGTTAAGTGACAAGACGGCAGCATTGACACGTTGTTGAAGATTTGTTGGCTGGTAAGCACCTTGATATTGATAAGGTCCAGTCGGTACGAAACTGGACTGTTGTCCTGGTTGACTAGAAGAACCAGTGACTGCAGCTGCAGCTGTTGTGGCTGCTGATGCTGATGTTGCTGCGGCTGCTGTCGATGATGCCGCTGCTGCAGTTGTGTGTACGGGCTGACTGCTCAGTGGCATGCCGTACATCGGTTGTTGCTGATATTGTTGTTGTTGATGTTGTTGCTGCAGATAAGAATTGTCAGCAGCTGGAGACGCTGTTGGGCGTGATGGGCTCGTAACAGAAGAGCCGTTGTTGGATCGTGGAGAGCCAGACATAGTTGCAGAGTATGTAGTTGGAAGCTTGTAGTATCCTAAGACGCTCGCAATACCATGTTAGAATTTGAGATGATTGAATAGGATCGTAATACTTAGGATGGTAGCTTCATGTCGTAGCGGAAGTTTTGTATGAATTAAAGCCAGTTAAGGAGGCTTTGTCTGGACTAATAAAAGCCCATGTAGTGATATGTTTCAGGATCAAATGTCTCTGAAATCAGATACCGGTATATTAAAAATAACAAACATACAAAATATATAGCTAGAGTAAAGTACCTGTTCGCCTTCTGTACTGTGCTATTCCTGTTCTGAAACGGAACGTAACTTTTCGCGAGGCCTATAGCTACGTGCTGACATCATCCTAGGGCGCGTAGCGCTTTGCTGACGTCAGCCTATCGGTACTTTACTGTACTACACGAATTTCCTTGAAGTGCTTAAGTCTCGATATTATCTCAACAGAATCGTTGGCGACGTCGCCAATACCTTCACGAAACAGTCACGACAAATGGCGAAACAGGTAATATGTTCGCAAATCGGACGGTCCACGGTTCGAACCTTATACCATGCGGACCGGTCTCAACAGAGGAGGCGCTATTTCAGTTCCTAACCCATAGGTGGCTCAGATCTCATGTCCTCCCATCTCACAGAGGTTCCCTTGATAGCTCCTTAGAGCACGATATATAGATCACATGCCGCCATCACAGGCTGTGGTCAACTGAACACCGTGTAAATGGATTATCGTGATATGATCACAAAGCAGCAGATATGCACACACGCATCACATAAACAAAGCAGATTTACACGGTGCGCTGAAAGGAGAGAAGCCTCCATGAAAATCGCACACCAGAAAGAAAGCCCATAAACACCCACAAGGGAATGGGCTATTTTCAACTATCGCTCTGCCATGAAAAAATATATATCCAGCGTTCCAGCTTGGAATCACGCCTAAATAAAAAAAGCGGAAATTAAATGGCTGTCAAATCGCACTCGCTCCCCACTTGTGACATTTGTCTGAAGCGCATCTTCTGATCCGGAACGAAGGTGGAGCCGCACAGCTGGCCCTGGCTGTCAATGTGCGGCACGGCCTTGAGCATGCGGTCCGGGTGCTCGTAGCTGTTCAGCCCTGCTGCCGTGGAGAAGTAGCATCCTGCACGGGGAAGAGTCGACAATACTTAGGTTAGTAGCTGACCGGCACGGATTGAAAGGCGATAGGAATCTGACCATGACCAGCGAGGGGATGACGAAATTACGACTTCGTACCCTTGGGGAAAGGAGCGAAGGAGCGTCCACAGTTCTTCCGGAGCGTGTCGCACTTATCCGAGATAGCCAGAACCGAGTCCTTGCACAGACTCCAGTACAACGGTCGCTTCCCATACGCGTCCTGAGCGACAAACACCTTCTTCTGCTTCTGGTCGTACAGCACGAACGAAAACGGACCCCGGAACTCCGAAAGGGCGTGTTCAACGGTGCACGGGGCTCTGTCACGCAGCGTCTTGTACACCTCGATCACGAACGCGGCCTCGCAGATCCGGTACCGGGTGAGACCGTACGCTACCCGCATTTGCGGAAGGTTCTCGAGGTTGCCGACGAAGGTGCAGAAGATGTCGTCGCACGAGGCAAATTGTCTGAAAGGCAGAACATTTTAGATAGGAGCGAATTAGTTAAAGTTGGCTAACCCGGGGGGAAAGGACGATTGCGAAGACAGAGCGTAACGAATGCAACAACTAACAATGAAGAGCGGTTTGTCATAATTCAGTGCTGGAGAGATGCGACGTCCGCGAGGGTAACTACGAAAAAGGCCGTTGTTATTACCTGCCACCGTCCCCTGTGAAGGCAATCTCGAGGTTGTCATCGAAGTGCAACACTGTAGCCGAAGTATTGCTCTTCATGAAATCTCCAACAGCGGCACTTCCGGAGTGAACGTTAGCGGGGTCTGCAGCGTCCGCGAGAGCGCACTGAAGCTCGGGTTGGCTGGGAGCCACACCCTTGTGAAAGATGGCAAACATGATGATAGGATTTGGAATCGAAGACGAATCGGCCTCACGTGAATAACGGAGGGTCAGATCAAGCCTGACGTTGCGTCAGTGCTTGGAAGTGCTGGCGTTGTTCGCTCGGCACGAACAGAGGGCCGTTCTGATGCGAGCAGAGCAACGGGAGGTTGCAGAAGCTGAGAACAATTTCAGCATCACCGAATGTGAACCACCGTTACCAGCTGAACGCTGGAGCAGCAGAAGATGTTGAGAGAAGCAATGAGACCTCGATTATGTATTCCTGACACAAATAATGGAATATAAATGACACGAAGACACTGCTCGTTACTGGGAGACTCGACCAAAGAGAGTCGAGAACACCGCGGCGCGAGTCATTCGGCCCAGATGAGTCAGCAGGAGCAATCTGTGCCGCAGACGAGGGTCATCAGTCTACTAAGTCCTTCCCATATGCTTGTGAGACGTTGAGGGGAGGGATGGACAGCCCAGGACGAGGGTGGAGGGAAGAGGAAGAGGGCGTGTTCTTTTCAACATCAAAGTCGGTGTGAGGAATTTCAACGGTTAGATACAAAGGTGGTGGCAGAATGCTGACGTGACAAAATGCTATCTGTTGATTTAGTGACACCGAAGGCGCAGATGTGCGGGCTTCGTGTCACCGGAGGTCGACCGGGGAGGTAATGATGTCTGGGAAGAGAGAATGGGGGGAAGTCGTTGTGGACTCGTAGGAGAGATGGATTGCCACGCATTTGCCATCCTGTATCAGTTGCAGCCAATAGAAGGACGCGCGCCTCGTCTGGCACGTACAAATGCATCATCCCAAGAGAGGTGGATGATGAGAGAGGCAGGATGATGAGTCGGTGATGCGCTGTATGGGATCAAATGCACTGATTTTGGGGGTTTCGCGATTCGGTGATGCGGGCCGAGACGACCACCTCTGTCGAAAATGAGTCACGCAAATGGGATTCTGGCGTGGCACGCCCGAGATATACAAGTGCTCTGCATCTGCCAGCGAGGGGTTGACCAGGCAGCCAGCGCTTTTGGGCCTTCGCACGCGTGGACTAGCGATGCTGTTGCGGTCTGTTTGGACAACCTCCACATGTGGATCCCCCTGACCTGGACGTGGGTGATTCCATGTCACGTTTACCGTGGCAGTGACCATGCTCTGGTTTCAGACAAACAGTGATTCAACCAGAAAAACAGTGTAAGTGAACTGTATGTTCATGAATTTGTCTAAATTAACAAAAACAAAATATAGAGCCTCAAAAGACACCACAAGGTTCATGATGCTTTAGACTATAGATGGGCAATCATATTGGATGTCTCTCAGGAAGAAGACCATTAATAATCCACCACAAACGACCAAGAATCAAATTAAAAAAACATATACAATCAGGATATGAACGTATAATACAACATGCAAGAACCAGCCGCTTTCAATGTCTGAATTTTCATTTAGTTCAACTGGCTGTAAACCAGTGTTGAGCTCTAAGATTTCATATTCCACTCCAAATTCGCCCTATAGCGCGTGTATCTACAGGAATTTCGGGGTTGCAATGCTTCGGGACGTAGGTAGACGTTAGGCGTTGCGAGAAGAAAGCTGCGGAATGGGAAAACCCCGAGTGAGATCACAGAAGAACATTAGTTGATGCTAAGAGCAGCCAATCTACGACAATGTCAATGTAGGTTGATGCTCCCTTCGCCTTGGTAGCTTGTGTCGATGAGGATGGCGAGGAGGAATTGGTGTCAGTAGTGGGTGTCAGAATGTTGGCATGTAGAGGGACGATATCTGAAATCACCACCTGCCAATAACGGGGATGATCATAAGGGGGCATTCGGAAATGGGTACTTTGCGGTGTTTAGAAGCATCCCAGGTTGTGGGATTTCGCATGAGCCCACAACTTGTCACACATCCAAACAGGATGATGACAATAGGCAAGCACAAATCTGCATGGGGTGCACTACTGACGTAAAAAACGTTAGGGTCGACTCTTAAAATCACTCTGAGAATCTGACATTGTGAGGGTGATTGATCCGGCATCCTGAATGAGCTCATAAGATCTGACTCTTGAGTTGATTCAAGGGGAGATGGAAAAGCACACACCTTGTCAGGGTACTTGAGTTGAAGGGCTGTCTTGAGCACGTGTGAGTTGCTGATGACAAGCCACCGAACCATGGTGGGAGCCGGCATCCACCACGCTTCCAGCTTCTGTAGGAACACGATGCAAGGGGGGGCATGAGCACGATGCAGGGAGAAATGGGGGCACAGGGAAGGTGTACTTAGCGTCGACTCGAGTGGGCACCCACCACAAGGGCCCTTGTGGAGACCCACAAGGGCTCCACAGGGTACCCACAAGGGCTCCACAGGGTGCCCACAAGGGCTCCACAGGGTGCCCACAAGGGCTCCACAGGGTGCCCACAAGGGCTCCACAGGGTACCCACAAGGGCTCCACAGGGTACCCACAAGGGCTCCACAGGGTGCCCACAAGGGCTCCACAGGGTACCCACAAGGGCTCCACAGGGTGCCCACAAGGGCTCCACAGGGTACCCACAAGGGTGAAGAATGGTGGGAGCCGGTATCCACCATGACTCCAGCTTCTATAGGAACACGATGCAGGGAGCATGGGGGGCACAAGGAAGGTGCATTTAGAGTCGACTCAAGCGCGCACCCACCAGGCCTTCAGCGAACAATGGAGGGAGCAGTCACCTACCATGCCTCCAGCTTCTACAGGGCGGAACATAGGGGTTCAGAAAAAACAGAAAAACCAGAAAAAACAGAAAAAGTCAAGTAACATTGTAAGGGATCGGTAGAATGAGGCAAGGGAAAGACGAAAAGAGTGGAAAAATAGGAAGTTGCGGCTAGAAAGAGGCAGGTCACTTTGAACACACACACACTAATAAATAGTTTTAAGTGCCTTTTCGACACCCACCTCCACGTTTTGTTTTGAGATGTCCCGATCATTCAGACTGTTAACTTGAACCATCTTGGCACATGCATGCAAACATGACTATCCAAACAATCAGACACCAAAGTCTATTCGCGGCGCACACCTCGGCACATGCAAAGTCGCCCTCAGTGTCGCCTTTATCCCATGCTATGAGCTTTTGGGATGTCTTAAAGCCCACCCACCTTGGCACATCGCATGTGATCCTCAGCCCACGCCATAAGTGTGCCTCTCTGTGTCTCATTCGTAACCTTGAGATATCGAGATTGAGTTTTGAGATGTCTCAAAGTTCACCCTTCTAGGCACATGCAATGTATTCTTCACCCCACGCCATAAGCTTGCTAAACAGGGTAACCACAAAAAGTCTAACCCCTCCCCTGACCCACCTGGGCACATGCAATGTAGTCTTCAGCCCAAGCCATGAGCTTTTCCTTATCCGTCTCACTCATAGCCTTGGGATCTCCAAACCCCTGCTGCCCCTGCCACACGAACTTGTCTGGTGCTCTCATGTGTATCCCCACCACCTTCACCCTATGGCCCGACATCCCATGTGCAGGCCCATGTGAGAACCCATGTGCGGCATGAGAGGATAGATGGGAGGTACGTGAATGGCTGGTGGTGAGATGTTGGAGGGGGGCGGAGGGAGAGGAGGAGGAGGAGGAGCAGTTGAGAGGCGCGAGCAGTTGATGGTACATGGCTTGCAGTTTTGATATGACTTCTGGCTGTGGCCTGGTGGGGGGAGGAGGAGGGGGGGGAGGATGGGTAGGAGGGCATGAGTGATCTTTACAGATGGGACTGAACACCAAGGAGAGCAGTAGGTGGCACTGGCTTGGACTTTGCTATTACTTCTGGCTGTTGATGATACATGGCTTGCAGTTTTGATATGCCTTCGGGCTGTGGCCTGGTGGGGGGAGGAGGATGGGTAGGAGGGCATGAGTAATATTTACAGATGGGACTGAACACCAAGGAGAGCAGTAGGTGGCACTGGCTTGGACTTTGATATTACTTCTGGCTGTTGATGGTGTATGGCTTGCAGCTTTGATATGACTTCAGGCTGTGGCCTGGTGGAGGGAGGAGGAGGGGGGGGGGGAACGGGAAGGAGGGCATGAGTGCTTTTGGTGGAGTGGACACAAGGAGAGCAGTTGATGGTACATGGCTTGAAAAGGCACGTTTAAAGAGGGTGGTTATGAGACGTCTCGAAACCACCCTCTTTACACAAGGAGAGCAGTTGACGACGGTACATGGCTTGAAAAGGGCACATGTGAGGGATGGCGTGTGTGAGGGAGGGCGCAGTGAGGGAGCTACTATAACAACAACGTGTGACGATAGGATAGGATCATACTTGAGAAGGAAGCGAATTATGCAGCCAAAGGCGTTGGGAGGGCGTATGTGAGGGAGGGCGCATGGGAGGGAGCTACAATAACAGCACAGTGTGACCATAGGATCGTACTTGAGAAGGAAGCGAAGTATGCAGCCAAAGGCGTAGGGAGGGCGTATGCCTAATGCGTGCAGGCTGGCAGTCCATTTCTTCCCCACCGCCTGTGGGCAACAGGGTGAGAGGTGGGTTGGAGAGCACAGGAGCACATGAGCACACCACAGGTACAGATAAGACATGAGCACAATAGCTTATGCCACAGGGCGGGTGTATGCCTATCACATGCAGACAGACTAGCCGGTCCACCTCTTCCCCACCGCCTGTGAGCGACGAGGGGAGGTAGAGATCACAATAAAAGAAAACGAGGGAGCCCGCGTGTGAAAGATTTAGGGTTTCGGACTTAGGGGTTAGGATTGTGTGTCTAGGAGTTCACTTCCAGTTCTTATCACCCTTTTCCTCCACACCACCACTCCACAAACCCACCTGTGCAAGCAGGTTCGACGTGAGTAGCCTTCTGTTCCACGACGCGCAGATGTTCATTGCCCTATCCAGCACTGCAAAGAACAACTTTCATGAGACGTCTCAGAAACCACCTCGTTCCTGCACACCACCACTCCGCTACACTACTCCTCACCTGTGCGAGCAGATTTTGAGTCGACTCAAAAGTCACCTCGCTACACTACTCCTCACTTTTGAGATGTCTCAAAAGTCGCTACAATACTTCTCACCTGTGCGAGCAAGAATGTAAGCAGACCCCTATTCCACGACACGCGGATGTTCATCACCCTATTCAGCATGGCAAACTACTCCTGCTCTGAGTCCTTTCAAGAAACACCTCTCTTCCACCACAGCACCACTACACCCACCTGTGCGACCCACCACTCCACACCTCACCTGTGCGAGCAGGTACGTGAGGAGCCCTCTGTTCCATGACACGCGGATGTTCATCACCCTATCCAGCATGGCAAACTACTCCTGCTCTGAGTCCTTTCAAGAAACACCTTTCTTCCACCACAGCACCACTACATTTGAGACGTCTCAAAACTAAACTTTTGAGACGTCTCAAAACTATTCAGCATGGCTAACTACTCCTGCTCTGAGTCCTTTCAAGAAACACCTCTCTCTTCCACCACAGCACCACTACACCCACCTGTGCGACCCACCACTCCTCTCCCCCTCACCTGTGCGAGCAAGTATGTAAGCAGACCCCTGTTCCATGACACTCGGATGTTCATCGCCCTATCCAGCACCCCAAAGAACTCCCCTGGCTCCACAAACCGGTTCCTCAGATTCATGAGAGCAGCATTCCATCAGTCCAGCAGTCCACCAGCAAACCAAGGAACTGCTGAGATGCTTCAGAAACACCCATCACCCCTCCCCCTCACCTGTGCGACCCACCACTCCACACCTCACCTGTGCGAGCAGGTAGGTCAGCAGACCCCTATTCCAAGACACCCGGATGTTCATCGCCCTATCCAGCACCGCAAAGAACTCCTCTGGTTCCACAAACCGGTTCCTCAGATTCACCTATCTACCAGGGTACTGCTGTGCTGAAATGCCTCGGAAACACCCAGTACGGCTCCCCCTCACCTGTGCGAGCAAGTAGGTGAGCAGGCCCCTATTCCAAGACACTCGAATGTTGAGCGCCCTATCCAGCACCCCAAAGAACTCCTCTGGCTCCACAAACCGGTTCCTCAGATTCACAACAACCACCTCTCCCTCCTGCACCAACTCCCCTTTCCCTCCTCCTCCTCCCCCCCCTCCGCCGCCTCCTCTGCCTCCCTTCTCTCCCACTCTCGCCAACACTTCATCAACCGTCAGCTTCCGAGCCGGCTCATAAGGCACGTCCGGGCCGAACGACCAATCCACGAGGTTCGGCGCGAACGCGAGCGGGAGGTACGGGTGCCGGACGATGAAGGCTCGGCGCGTGAGGAGCGCGCAGGCAAACGCCGTGGCTAGCCCGGTGATATAATCCCCCAAGCCTCCAGGCTCGTCTAACCATTCAAAGGTTAGGAAACGAATGGATGGGTCTAACCGGGGCTGGGGGTATGAGGCTGGGGGAGGAGGGGATGGAGGAGGGAGGGACGGGGGTGCTGGTGATGTTGGTGATGGTGATGGTGATGGTGGTGGCGGTGGTGGTGGTAGTGCTGTTGCTGCAGCACCACCAGTAGCAGCAACGGCGGCAGCGTTGGCGGCGGCGGCAGCGGTTTGGGCGAGGGTGGGGGCGTGAGAGCGGGTGGTTTCGCGGATGCGCGCGTGCAGGGCGGCGTAGTCTGTCGCCCAGGTGCCACAGAGGGCGTCTGAGAAGGTGACATCTAGGAAGGGCGCGAGGGGGGAAGCGGAGGTCCCCAGGGGGGGCGGAAGCTGGTGGTTGGGGGAAGGGTCGGGGGAAAAGGGAGGGGTTGGGGGGAAGGGAGGGTGAGAGAAGGTCCCGGGCAGCGTAGTCTGTCACCCAGGTGCCACAGAGAGCAAGGAGGCATCGAGGAAGGGCGCGAGGGGGGAAGCAGATGCATGCAGGGGAGGCGGATGCATGCAGGGGAGGCGGATGCATGCAGGGGGGGCGGAAGCTGGTGGTATGGGGAAGGAGGGGGTGGAAGAGGGAGGAAGAGGGGGTGGGGGAGGGGAAAAGGTGGGGGACAAATGGGTGCAGGAAGGCATAGCGAGTCACCCAGGAGACACGGAGGGCGTCTGAGAAGGAGACATCTAGGAAGGGCGCGAGGGGGGAGGCGGAGGCATGCAGGCGGAAAGGGGAGGGCGGACGGTGGAATGGGGGAAGAGGGGAAGGGGAGAAGAAAGAAGGTGGGATGGGGACAAGGGGAGAAGGGGAGGAGGGGGGGAGAGGAGAAGAGGAGAATGTGACAAGGGAAGAAGGTGACAAGGGAAGAAGAGGGGACGGGCAGAAGAGGGGGAAAAGGGGATGGGTTACCAAGAAACGGTTGGTGGTGGTTTAACAGAGTAGTGGTTAGGTGAGCATAAATGGGTGCGAGGGGGAAGAGGGGATGGGTTACCAAGGAAACGATTGATGGTGGTGGGTGAGCATAAATGGGTGAGAGGGAGAATGGGTGGTCTGAAGAAGTAAGGTGCGAATCCAACCCAATGAAGGAGACTTTATCATTTAAGGAACAAGACCCACCAGTTCGAAAGAATAAATCGTATTATGGAGCATAATTGACTAATCCTCAGAACGAGACTTCCAAAAAGCATTTTCAGTCAATCCGGAGCATTCTAGCCGTTTCATAGACCGAGGGGTTTCATACGCTGAGGGGTTAGCATCTGAGGGGTTTCATACGCTGTCTAAGCCGTTTCATGATCTGTCTGAGTCATTTCCTACTCTGTTTGAAACGTTTATGTCTGCATGAAGCGTTTCTTACTCTGTCTGAAGTGTTTCACACTCTGTATGAGGCGTTTCATGTTTCTAAGGCACTTGAGAGTTTGGATTCATTTTGGTAACAAGCCGAGCCTACTATGTATGGTAACAGGAGTCACAAATAAGGCGATCCCACAACGAAGGCGATCCCACAAAGAACAGTACACGAGGCTGCAGATGCGATTAAAACGAAGGTTGAGCCTTCATTAACAAGCACAACAACCACCTTGGACACGTTAAGTCATCCCCTCTCCTCAAACGGTCCTTTGGATTAGTACGGTCCTCTCCCGCCCCACCAGAAACTTGTTTTGAAGGGTCTGGAATGGGAGGACTCACAAAGAAACGCGAGCGAGGCGAATGAGCGTTGGACCAGCTAAGGCGAGCGAGCGAGCGAGCGCGAGAGCGAGAGCGCGAGCGAGAGAGGAGGATGCAGAGCGACTTTCACCGACTCGCGACGGTCCTAAACTTGGTGTTCATCTAAAGCTAAAAGCTTTCTGTGTGTGGAATGAGCGAACTCACAAAGGCTAAGGCGAGCAAGAGGGCGTAAGTGAGCGCATCATGCCCTCTCCATCTCCTCCGCCGCCACGTATTTTGAGACGCCTCAGAAGTCGCAGGTTGCATCCATCGCCGTTTTCGGAGAGTCGTTTGAGACGTCTCAACGGTCACTTCATTTCGACGCTGTCTCCGTGCACCCGCAGTACTACTAGCAGTACGTTGCGGCTCCGCACCCGTGCGCTGCTTCGCTCTCAGCGTTCGCTGTTTCCCGCACGTCCACTGTCCCCCCTCGACCGTCGCAAACCGAGCCGCACCGAACAGCCTACTCCTGATGGTTCTTAAACCCGGCATCGGCGGCTGCATCGTCGTCGCCAAGCAGTGGTAGTAGGGATCATGCAGTCACGGTCCGCTTAGTAAGAACCGACTAATATTGAGGCGCCTCAAAAGACGGCTGCATTGTCGTTGCCAAAAAGTTGTAGTAGGGACCATACGGTCGCGCTTACGAGAGATGACTAATATCGAGGCGCCTCAAAGGCGGATGCGTTGTCCTCGCCAAAGGAAATGGTAGAGGCTGTAGTCGCGCATAGATACGCAGCTCTGGGGCTAATGATCGTGATAAGCTTGAAAGATTTCACCATGATCATACATGAAAGAATCGGAAGTTTACAAAAGCTAATCACAGTGTACAGATTATTCGAGTTTCCGATGTCATTTTCTGTCAATGGTCGTCAGATTGACAGTCAAGGACTGACTATGAGGTGTGGGTGTCATGTCATGTCAGGTCGTCATCAGTCCTTGACTGATTGACAACCATTGATTGACAACATTGGACAAGACATCCACACCTTCAAGGTGGACAGTTTCTTGTTTCTGTAACTGATTCTCGAGAATTCGTTGGCCGGTAAGCCATGGGAACTGCGCATTGCCTCCATCGTGCACGCGTGTTCGTATGGGAAAAAAATCATTCTACAGTAGCCCAAATGGACGGAGCCGTGGGAGGACGGGACGTGGGAAAGAGCGAGGGAAGGGAAGCACTGTAGCTTGGTGCAAGCGAGAAAACAAGGAAAGAAAGGACGGCAAGTTTCCAGCCAGAATACTACTGCTCCCTGAACGACTTGACCTGACCTGAGCAAGCAAGAGCTCAGGATGGCGAGTTTTGAATATCGAACAGCGTGAAGGAGAATGGCCTGCATGCCTGCGTGTGTGTGCTGGGGAATTGTGTGTTGCAGATGAATGCAGAGCTGTGGTGACTCGGTTTTCCTGTGGTTTTGTCACGCACGGTTGTTTAAGCAGTCAAAGCGTTACAAATCGGCGCAGTGGCTGGGCTTTCACCCCCGAAACCCAGAATTTTGTATGGAGGCAAATCCTCCCACACCACCGATCACCGCACCTCCTAACCGTTCGGTGGACTTTCCGGAATAACAAGCATCGGTATGAGAAGCTGGGAAATACGACTTGTACATGTCATTCTTTGTGACTACTAAGTCTGTCAATCACACGAACACAATCACACGAACACAATCACATGAACACAATCACACGAACACAATCACACGAACACAATCACACAAACACAATCACACGAACACAATCACAGGAACACAATCACACAAACACAATCACACGAACACAGTTCACAGAATGACAGGCAGATGCGGGGAGGCAGGCTCTGGCCACCATGCAGGTGACACAGCAAGCAATGGTCAGCTAAGTGCTACATGATGCAGCGGGGATTAACTCTGAGGTCGTGTGGTATTGGATTGGACCGGAACCAGGCAATGATTGACCAAACAAGTGTGATTGCCTTACCTGTCCTGCAAAGGCACGTCCCTGCAAAAAAAAACAAAAAAAGGCAATACTTGATCAAGCAGATTCAGCAACCTGATTCAGCCTCATGCCTCACCCATTCAGCGAAGGTGAGGGCGTCAGTCTCCTCATGCCCGTTTGACCCTGGCTTTGCCATTGCACGTGCGCTTCCTGATAAGAGAAGGACAATGGAAGGGGAGGGGTCGGAGCAGGGCCTATGTTATCAGGATAATTTATCCTGATTCTCCTGAATTCAGGATAGGTCGTGTGCTTCTCCTGAAAAAACAGCATAAGGGAATTACTTGTCCTGTAAAATCAGTATAATGGTTATTTTGCGTACTGAAACTCAGGATAACGCTGTAGGTTCAGCCCTGACGACTCAGGATAATGTCGAATCTCGCCCTGAAGCGAGATGTACTGTACGAAAAATCTCCTGGGTTTCGGGGCCAAAAGTGTACAAGGCGAACGCTTCGGATGATGGAGCCAGTTGGAATCGAGCAGGCAACCTACTGCGTAGCAATCTTTCGCTTTACCCACTACAACACTTCATGTTCGACTCGCCGAACAACAAAATCTATAACAATATTGTTTTGCGCCAGCTTTTCCATCCAATTTGGCCCACGATGTTCACCGCCACCTTCGCCATCTCCTTGTACTGTGCTGTAACACTTTCGCACCATGCAGCTGCCAGCGACTTGCACTGCCAGCCACTTGCAGCTGCACCCCAGAATTACACACTTCGAATGTGGAGAGCATTTCGATCCCCGCTAACATAACACGCGCGAAATATACAGGATTGTACGAAATGTAGCACTGAGCTGCCAGGATACTCTCAAATGTAGCACTGACATTTCAGGATACCTCACCCTGTGCAGCCCTGACAATTCAGGGCAGATTCTGATTTCCTAAAAACTGCCCTGAGGCCTCAGTGTACCCCCAAACCAATCTGAGGGCCTGGGTCGGAGGAAGAGGATTAGAGCAATGGCGTGTGAATTTGAGATCAGCCTTAGTAAGATTGCACACACAGTACTCACTCAATCTCTCTCACTCTCACCCATCTCTCTCTCCCTCCTCCCCTCCCCCACCATATCACCAGACCAGCCGTGCTCAGCTCAACTCTGTACACAACCACCTTTCCCCCAGCTCACCAGGAATCGGAGTAGAGACCCAGCTTGAGCCCCTTGCTGTGCACATAGTCTGCTAGTGCCTTGATGCCAGACGGGAACGACACCGGAGATGCCACCAGGCGACCCTGAAACATGGAAAGACATTGGAAGAGAGAGAGAGAGAATCAGTGAACGTGCTCGGCGGGGTCTCCAACATGGAGCCATGCGACTCCTGGAGAATCAGTTCAAGACTCTGCAGGCACTCCGCCAACGACCACAAGTGCGCCAGGGTCGCCGTGGGCACTGGCTTCATCTGCGGGGGGAATGCAGACGCGCGAGATCGGCGAGCCGATACTGCCAGATCACGAGGAGCAGGGAGGGGACGTGGCGGAGCAAACTGGGCCCACGGGTCCCCGCCACCCGCGCCAACAAAGCCAGTCCCCGCAGGCAGCGGATGAGCTGAGCGCGCCGGGGATACCACAGGATTATGGGGCAGGAGCGCGGCGAGAGGAGCGACCGGAGCAGTGGGAGGAGCAGATTGCGAGGACGACCCCGCATGGGAGCGGTGGAGAGCTTTCTCCACACCGTCCAATTTCTTCAGGACTCGCTCCATCGCGGAAGGCGCTGGACGCGCAGCCCCGCCGCGACCATAACCCCCCCGTCGCCCACGATGCGCACGTCCACTCGCGCTCGAACGCACAGGTGACTGTGGGCGAGACAGGCCCCGCTGACGCTGGCGGTCAGGGGAACGCTCTGTGCGACGAGGAGAGTAGAGCCGCTGGCGTTTCGCAAGAGGGGGAGAACGTGGTGCCAAGGACCGATATCCAGACGCATGGCAAGCAGGCGATCGCGGACAAGAGGAGCGGGGAGCGGGAGAACGGTGGCGATACAAGCGGTGGTCACGGGAACGACTCCGTGATGCCTTGCGTCGAGGCGATCGAGGAGACCGCAGTGATCGCGGCGACCGCAGCGGCCGGGAGTCAGCGCGACGATCGTCGCGGCGGCTCTCCCGCTTACTGTCGCGGGCCGCCGGCGAATGATGGCGAGGCGAACGCTCCCGGTGCGCCACAGCCTCTGCGCCGGAGCGCGCGCCGGACCCCGCACGCGCAGGCTCCCCCAGAGGCAAGGATCCGCCTCCGAGCAGACCCAGATCCCGACGCTGATCCTCAAAGCGCCGACGGATCTCGTCCGCAGCCGCCGGCGGAGCAACAGATACGCTCGCGGCAGGACGTGCGGGAGGAAGTGGACGGGGAGCAGGATCAACCTCCACGGCGCGGTCACGGCCCAGAGCACCAAGGAAGTCCATCGGCCCCCACTCAAGGCGCGCCACTGGCCCGGGACGAGCCGATGACGCCAACCTCCCAGGCGCAACAGGCCGCACCAGTGGCCGCCACCCCGAGGAGCGGACGGGGAAGCACGCGGGGAAGAGGCGGGCGTCGAGGAGCACGCGGAGTACAGCGAAGCGCAGGCCAAGCGGCAAGGGGGAACCCCCGCCAACCGCCGAGCCCAATCTGGTTGGGGGAACCGGCGGAACGAGTCACGCGCCAGTCATTCGCCAGGCACGGGGCGAGAGGAGGAAGGACAGCGCAAGCAGGGAGATTTGGTGATATAAATGCAGAGGGGAGTGGCGACGAATATGTACCGTCGGATCTGAGGCAACCCGACAATCCCGACTCACCCCGCGCGGAAGCGGGGGTGGAGCAGGCGCAGCTGCAGGAGAGAGGATCTGGCTGCCGACAGAACCGCAGACCCCAACCCCCCCCCGGACCAGGCCCTCTCGGCGTCCCAGCTGGCATCGAGGGATGATCTCTTTGAGATCGCGATGAGCTGGGACTCGACTACCCTAACGTCGACCTCTCACCTGCCTATCGTCCGCCGCCTGCCGCCGCAGATCCTAAGCGATTACTCCACCTGTATGCTGGCCGCCCTCCTACGGATCTCCAAGCTGCCAAACTGCGCAGGAGCGTGGCGGGTCCTCATGTTCCTGCCACGTCTGACCCTACGACTTAGCAGGAGGTCCAGCTCTAGGTGGAAGGTGCTGCGAGAACAAATGCACCTATTCAGATGTGGCCACTGGAACCAGCTGTACAGTGACTACACAGGGTCCCTGCACCAGGCCGAACCACCTCAGCACCAAAATGACCCCCTGGGAATCTGCTCACGAGTGGAGGGGCTGGTGAAACGGGGTAACCTGCGAAAAGCACTGGCAGCCCTCCAACCCTCGCCAGCAGCCCCGGCGACCACCGCGACACTGCAGCAGTTGGAATCGAAACATCCCCAACCCCAAATTGACTTGCCCGACTGGGTCAACTCCTACACAACACCCACGCAATTTTCGTGCACCACGGAAAACTTCTCAAACGTCCTTGGGGATTGCCCCAGCGGTGTTGGGGCTGGTCCATCAGGGTCAACATTTGAACATTACTGCGACATAGCCCTAAGTAACATCGAAGTACTAGGGCACCTGCACTCCGCCGTAACCCACCTCCTCTCGACAAACCTCTCCGCCGAGGTTGCAGCACTACTCTCGCCATCCCGCCTCATCGCCTTCGCGATACCAGGGGGGGGGGGTACGCCCTATAGCGATAGGGGAATCCCTGCTCCGGCTGGCAGCAAAGGTAGCACTCTCAGAACTGCAAGGAGAGACAAGGCGATTTTTCTTACCCCAACAATTTGGCGTGGCAGTCCCAGGCGGGGCCGAGTTCGTTATCCACGCAGTCAGAGACCTCACCACTTCACAACCATCAAGCCTAGTCCTCCAACTCGACATCGAGAACGCTTTCAACTCCGTAGAGAGGATAGCGTTCTTTAACGCACTCACCAACACCCCGCTTGCCCCACTCATTCCCTTCACACGCTCCTTCTACGCGACGCCTTCACAGCTGCTGACCGATCCCCGCTTGAGCACAACGGCACTCACCAGCGGAAGGGGAGTTAGGCAGGGGGACCCCCTCGGACCCCTTCTGTTCGCGGCCTCAATCCAGCAGCACCTCAGACGCGTAGCGACAGAGCACCCCGAAGTCACGGTCCTAGCATATGCAGACGACATCACCTTGATTGGACCGGCGACAGCGACGCTCGGCGCGCTAAAGGTACTGACACCGCTGCTAGCCCAGGACGGCCTCAACTGCAACCTCAGAAAATCGTCGGCGTGGTCCCCCTCGCCGCTCGAAGGTAATGAGCTCCCCGAGGGCCTTCCCCTCACCCACGAGGGGGTACGGGTGCTAGGAAGCCCTGTGGGGTCACAGCGCTTCTGCGCTGACCTCGTCCGCAGCACCTTGACCGACGCGGCGGTACCCCTGGGCTCCTTAGCATCCATCCATCCACAGCATACCCTCCTGCTCTTGTCTCGCTGCATCAGCCGCAGAATCGGCTACCTGCTGCGCACCACCCCAGCAGACGTCCTACCTCTTTCGGAATGGCATGCGTGGTGCGCCGAACTGCTCAACACTACCTTAACTGCCGCCAGCATCCAACCACCCCGCCGTGAAACAGAGTTCAACTTTCTACTTCGCCAAGCAACCCTCCCAGTAGCCCTGGGTGGGCTAGGCCTCACGGACCCCACAACAGAAGCAGCACCAGCCTACCTGGCTTCGACAACAGAGGCGCTACGCCTGCTCCGCTCACTTGACCTTCCAGCAACCGCAGCGCTAGGGAGCAACAGCAACGCTCTGCAGCCGTCTGCAGCGCACTCGGTCACCATCCAAGACATGGAGGGACGACTGCCGCCACTGACGTTGCAAAACCTCCGCGGGGAGCAGGAAACCCCGTCCCAAGACCAGCTGCAGCGCGCCCTCTCCCAGGAAGTGCATGCGGCAAAGGCCGACGCCCTGACGGAGGAATCACGCGCAATCAGGTCTGCCCCCGAGATGGGGCACACGCTCCGCCTCGTCAGCCTGAGAGGTGAGGGAGCGGGGGCATGGCTGCAGGCCCTACCCCTGACTCCAGACCTTGGCTTTTCACCAGGGCGATTCCGAACAGCCCTGGCTTTCCGCATGGGCATCCGACAGGTCGTACCTACCGTGTGCGAGTGTGGAGAGCTCGTAGCCGACTGCAGCCTCCCCAACCACCTACTCCGCTGCAGCACAGGCCCTGACAGAACGCGCACACACAACCAGCTGGCTTTCGCCGTGGCTAAAATGGCGAGGAGGGCACAGCTGGTGGTATACCTAGAGAATGCAATGTACTCACCACCGGATGACCCGAAGAAGGCAGATGTGATTGTACGCGACCCAGACAGTGGTGAGACCTGGATCACAGACACGACTATCACTGACCCCGTGCTACAGAACCGAGACCCAGCAGCCCGCAAACCCCCAGGATGGGCTGCAAGGGAGGCACAGAAGAGGAAGGAACGGGACTACTACAGGCATACAGAGCACGTGGTGTTCTGCGCCCTAGCCGTCGAGACCTATGGGGCAAACGCACCCCCCACGACGGCGTTCCTGAAGCTGCTGGCCACAGCAGCAGCAGCTAGAAACCGCCTGCCACTTCAGCCAGCGCTGGTCAGTGGCCCTCCAGCGCTCTCAGGCGAATGCCCTGCACACCAAGGCCAGGGCAGGGATCGAGGCGGCGCACCCCCAGATGGCAGCAGACCCATGGCCGCTGCACCTAGGGGACATCCTCCACACGCTGGAGGGGTAGAGGGTCACTTAGGGGGGAGGAGGGTCATAGGGATGGGTCAATGGGTCAGAGGGTCTAAGGGAGCCACGATTCAAACCGTATGTTTGTACCCCCGCTGAATTAATACAAAGGACCATTTGAGAGAGAGATTTCAAGTTGACGTTCTGCCAAGATAGTGCTGAGACGCCTCAAAAGATGGCATGAGGCCAAACAGTTCGTTGAGACATCACAGCATGGCGTCAAATGTAGCGTTGAGATTGAGACGTCGTAGAAGCTGGCATGACTTTCCCAATGGAGAGTAGAAATCTCAGAAATAACCATGCTTCGGAACGGAAGGTAAACACATGTAGCAAGGGATAATGCTCCGTTGAAAGTTGATTAGAGTCAATATAGCCGGAGCCGTTACCACCTTTAATCGAAGCACCCACCTTTGAGTCTCTGGAGTCAGCTTGCCAGCAGTCATTTGCAAGGCAAGCAAGAAACAAGATTGGTAAAAAGAGGCAAGATACCAAGATTGGTCAAGTCACCTTGAACTTTGAAAATCCAAGCTGAAAGTGGCAAAACTTGCTGAAATTGTTGAATGACTTGTGGCTGAAGCAGGAAGCACACCACTGCAACAGCCCAGATGACACGAGCTTGTCACTTGAAGTTTGCAGAGTGGGCAGGATGGAAAAGGGTTAGATATGTCTCACCTATGTTGACATAGACTTAGCCAAGCGCCGCTAGCCCTGATGACACGAGCTTGTCCGCTGCAAGGCACAATCAACGATTAGCGAGTGAGACCTGGTTTGCTGGCGCTCTGGAAAGAATGGCTGGCATGGAATGGCTGGCATGAATGCTCTTGGATAAATGAATTGCGAATGCAGAATGAATCAGTAGCTGCAAACACTACGGATACTAGTGGTACTAGTCTGCAGCCACTAGTTATGATGAATGAAGGTAGCATGGAAACAGCATTGAGGGAATAAGGGCATGGAGACCTTACCACGATCGGGAGTAGCAGTGTGGTGGCAGCCTCATTGCAGTATGGTGGCATTCTCACCTGCAGTCTTGACAATGTCTTCTGTGATATTGCGCTGGAAGTGGTTCCAGCTGTTCCATCTGCCACAGCAAGCCACATGGACAGTGCAAGCAAAAACAGAAAACGTTAAGCTATCTCTGCATGAAAAATCGAAGAGATGAATGCCAATGGCATGACTCATACAGGTACTAGTGCTAACTTTTCCTGAGATGTTCAAGTATTTACCCGAGCGGAATTGGGAAGGTCTTCTGGGTCTTGGGCACAGTAGGGCAGGGCTCATGAAACAGATATTCAAGTCTTACCCGAGTGGGCTTGGGAAGGTCTTCTGGGACTTGGGCACAGAAGCTTGGACCTGAGTCCGGGGCACGGTTCCAGGAAGGTCGAGCTTCTCTTTCCTTCCAACCTTCAGCACAGTCGGAACAACGGCCCCTCCGCTGATAGCCGAAGCTTGGTGAAACGCAACAGCGAGGCAGAAGCACATGGATACGAACCAGGCCTCCATTTTCCTGTCAGACATAGTAGTGGCACTGAACCAAGAAGCCCAAACGCGTGGGCAAGCCCTGCTGGCAGCAGGCACCTGCAAGACTAACTGGCCGTTAGTAGCTTTGTCAAAAAAGCTACTAAGTTTTTCAGATTCTGGAATCCGCAGAAATTTGCTGGACATTCCAAGAATGGGCACCGCAGCTGCCTCATTCACAGAAGACTCTTCACGTCTTCCGACAGGGAGCTAGCTAGCTGCCGGCCGGCAAAGAATGACAGGCAGGTCCCACACATCATGCTGAGAGGTCACCTCTCTGTCATGACTCGTAGGCCTTCCTGATGCCCATTTTTCACGTGCAGATTCATGCGTCGAGTAGGCTGCCTGGCCTGCTACGCGATTTTCTCTCATCGCGTGGATTTCATTCACTGAGAGCCAGAGACTGCCCAGAGCCTGGCAGGCTGTCCGAGTGTTTTGAGACGTGTCAAAACGCCAGGGACTGCCCAGAGCCTGGCAGGCTGTCCGAGTGTTTTGAGACGTCTCAAAACGCCAGGGACTGCCCAGAACCTGGCAGGCTCTAAGAACGTCGCGGCTTCTCTTTTTTTCACCAGGGACTGCCCAGAGCATGGCAGGCTCTCAGAGCCTCAGAACGTCGGCTTCTCTTTTTTTCATGACGGACGGACAGTCGTGTGATCAGGTCCGCCGGAGGCAGCAGTGCTCCACAGGACCACCATGTTTTTCGTCTGCACATCATAGGGTTCAAGCCTTGACTGAGTCAAGTTGCCTCCCAGGCCTCCCAGTACCGCAGAAAATGAACGAAGGAATCGAAGGGGTCGCAGGCCTGGTCGCACAGGTGGTCGCAGGCCTGGTCGCCGCGTGACTTGCTCTCCGTCACGTCATGACGGTCATTTGGCATATGGCGGTGGAGTATTTGTGTGTGCTTCTTGAAGTACACCCTGCAGGCCTCGCTGATCCTTTGCTCCTGTGTGTGCTTGTTCTGACACGGCGAGTCGTTAGCTCTGTCCACCACATGATCTCCCGGAGATCTGCAGTGATCTTTGGGTGATCTGCAGGTCTGCCCAGTTGCATTGTTGTCTGTGCGTCTATGTACAGTGTACAGTATGGAAGACTTTCCGCCCTGGAAAGTCTTCAACACTGTATACTGCTTGGAAATGTTGAGAAACACGGACCTGCCAGCCAAAAGAGTCCCAGAGATAAATTATGGCGGCTATAGTCGACGGTAATGGGGAAACTAGGGTGTACCTTTGATAACAACTCACAAACTGAATGGACGACGGGCAACAACTGCACCCTGCACCAAAATAATAGGACCTCTTTACCAGGCTTGAACTCGCCTGAATCCTTTGTTCATCCCGTGTGTTGGAGGTCGGCTGGTTGGAAACAAATGGTCCGCAAGTAGGGTTGGGTGGCGAAACAGCAGGTAACATTGCACTCAAGACAAAGGTTACACTTGGGCGGTGGAAAGGAAACAAACTGATCGCAACTCCGTTGGCAAATGATATTATAATGTGCACACGGATATGCACTTTCATTGAAATATTCGGACCCATAAATAAGGCCGGCTATTATCACAAGGCTATTACCACAAGGCAGAAAAACCCAAGACACTATACGGTGTCATATCCACCATTCACACCATTGGGAGGAGAGACATGCCTTGAGGACCTACAAGCTGCTATGGCAAACATTGCTGCTCCCGCTGGATTCTATTGTTTCAGATTGGCATCTGTGACAGGCCAGAGAACAAATAATTGCACACCATGGCTTGCAACTTGGGCAGTTAGCTCATTAGAGTTGGCGGAGTTAATGAGGGAGTCCTGCACCACACAGCATGAACACCACGAGGAGCACACATATCGATGAGCACACATGTCGATGAGCACACATATCGATGAGCACACATATCGATGAGCACACATATCGATGAGCACACATGTCGATGAGCACACATGTCGATGAGCACACATGTCGATGAGCACACATGTCGATGAGCACACATATCGATGAGCACACATGTCGATGAGCACACATATCGATGAGCACACATATCGATGAGCACACATATCGATGAGCACACATGTCGATGAGCACACATGTCGATGAGCACATGTCGATGAGCACACATGTCGATGAGCACACATATCGATGAGCACACATATCGATGAGCACACATATCGATGAGCACACATATCGATGAGCACACATATCGATGAGCACACATATCGATGAGCACACATATGAGAACAAACAGATTGTGCTGGATAAGTGTGATGGGTACGCATATATGTGCATGTGTCTATGCGCATGTGCCTGCATGCACATGTCTAGAAAATGAGTGGTACATAAGGAGGGAGAGAGTGAAAATTAGGAGTGAGAAGGGGACGCAGGGAAGTGTAGAGACATGGTGCGTGCGGACACACGTACCTTCCACAGGTCTCGTGCATGCATCCGCTGCTCCGGATTCAGCCCAATTTCTTCCCAACTGACAGTCACATTCTCGCTCTTCCCACCACGGTTCACCAATGCCACCACTTTCCGGCCCTCAGACAGAGAACCCACCCAGACCTGCAGGTTCGGGAGCAGGTAGCACAAAATAAGGGCAAGAATCAAACAGTGTGACTTCAAGGAGGATTGTACAAGTCAGCTGAAATGAAAGATCTGGATCCAAGGCTGTCCCTCGACTCGCAAGGCATGACGTGCAATAAAGTGCAAGAGAGAGTTTAATGTTCTCACCTTCACTGGGGATTCCTTGAATAGTTGCACCTCCTGTGCTTGCACTCCCAATGAATCTGCACCAATAAGAATGCGGCACGTGTCAGCAAAATCCAAGAAGGTAACATGCATTCAATAACCAGACTTCCAGCTTGCTTGGGAGCGTACCTTGGTTGAGGGCAATAGCCTCGTCGGTGCTGAGTATGCTCATGGCTGGCTGTGAATCCGCAGAGAGAGCGCAGGCCGGCAGGAGTGGCGCCTGTGGGAGGTGAGAGGGTGTGAGGCGAATGGGTAGGAGGCTGAGTTGGATGCAGCGCAGTAGGGATAGGAATGGCAAGCTGTACGTGTGCATACATGCATGGATAGGCATGCATGCATACAGCCATGCAGGCACGTGTGCATGCATACAGCCATGCAGGCACGTGTGCATGCATGTATCTACGTAAGCATGCAGGAGTGTGTCCTCACCTTCATGATGGCCCAGAGATTGAATTGCACATGGTGCTCTGTCTCGCTCATGGCGCCCTTCGCAACTTGAAGAATGTCCAGGTCTGATGAAGGAGGGAGATCATTAGTAAGGGTAGGGAAGGAGAAGAGATGAGTGGGGGGTGAGGTGAGAGTGTACAACACATGACTCACAACACTTGCAACGCCATGCTACACTTGCACGCCCTAAGAAGTCAACGCGTGTGTGTGGCTGCACGCACCATTCCAGTTGCGAGGGTCGGCGTATTTGGCCCACTTGTTGTTGGCATCCGAAACCCAAGTCACGCTCCTCCATTTGTCATCAGTGCCAAGGGTGGTGCGCCAGGGATCTGCCAACCCATACGCCCACAGAGCTGAGCTGTCCTATCCTTGGCACACGGAGACCGAGATGTCACTCCCAGTGGCCTCCAAGGCATTGCGCATGGCCGCATGGCTGAGGGTTGATGAGAGGCATCCAGCAGCAAAGGGTGGAACAAGAGGGAGGCAGGGGAGAGATACGGAGCTCCAAGGTTGAGTATTCAAGGAAGGTGAGTCCTGGACAGTGTATGAGCTCAAGGAAATGAGTACAAGGCTTGGACGGCGTATGAGAACAAAGGAAATGCAAGTCCAACCAAGTACAAGAAGACAGGACAAACGAGAAGAAAGACGGAAGAATGAGGTAAAGTACCATATAATGGAAGAGAGGAAGAGCTGGGAGCGAGGCGGACAGGGCATACCTTCTCTTGGTGGGAGCTCCATCGTCGTAGCAGCTGTCATATTTGACATAGTCCACTCCCTGGCATCACATTGGAACACAGTCGCAGCAAGGCAGGCAGATGTGAGAAGGCATGCATGGAGGCGGATAGGAGAAAAGACAGGCGCTACTCCATCCAGCATATTCAGCAAGCAAATTCGGCCTCGAGACTCACCCATTCAGCAAAGGTGAGGGCGTCAATCGCCTCATGCCCGAGTGACCCTGGCTTGCCTGAACACGTGCGCTTCCTGCGAAGGTCAGTGGAAAGGGAGGGGTCGGGCGGGGGAGTAGAGCAGCAGAGGCAAGTGGATTTGAGAATAGCGTTTTTAAGCCTGCACAGCTGTCCCCCACCCCCATTACCATCACAAGCCCTGCTCATCTCAGCTCCACACACTGACTCACCCCGAATCGGAGTAGAGCCCCAGCCTGAGCCCCTTGCTGTGCACATAGTCTGCTAGCGCCTTCATGCCAGACGGGAAGGAGGCCGGAGATGCCACCAGGCGGCCCTGAGAATCTCTAGAGTCGGCTTGCCAGCAATCATCTGCAAGAGCAAAGCAGGAAGAAAGATTGGTCAGAAGAGGCGACACCTTGTAGTAAAAGAAGCCAAACTCCTGCAGTGCAGGAAGCACGCACTGACACGAGCTTATCAAGCTGCAGAATACAGAGTGTACAGGATTCAAAAACAGGGCAGACGTGTCTTACCTATGTTGACGTAGACGTAGCCAAGGGCCGCTAACCCTGACGACACGAGATTGTCCGCTGCAAAGCATAACAACATCCATACGAATACGGAGTGAGAACAGACGGCGTGCTGGGATAATGGCTCGCGGCATGAACTGCCGTTGGATGGAGCCTTTGACATGATCGCCATGCTCGGGAATACCTGCAGTATCATGGTGGCATTCTCACCTGCAGTCTTGACAATGTCTTCTGTGATATTGCACTGGAAGTGGTTCCAGCTGTTCCATCTGCCACAGCAAGCCACACAGATGCGACAGCATGGCAAGCACAACAGCAAACGGTAAGCTAATCTTGCTTAAACAAGAGAGAAAGAAAGAAAGAATGTAGGGCAGCACTCATGAAACAGATATTCAAGTCTTACCCGAGCGGGCTTCGGAAGGTCTTTGGAGTCTTGGGCACGGTTCCTGGAAGGTCGAGTTTCTCTTTCCTTCCAACCCTCGGCACAGTCGGAACAGACGCCCCTCCGCTGATAGCGGAAGCTTGGTTGAAGACAACCGTGAGGCAGAAGCACATGGATACGAACCAGAGCTCCATTTTCCTGTCAGACATCGTAGTGGCACTGAACCAAGATGACAAGGTAAACAGCTGGCACTGGCAGCCGCAGGCGCTCATCTCAAAAATCGGGAAAGGGTTTTGAGTATGCGGTTTTTCGTTCCGCAAACAGTAGGCGAAATGAATCCCCGTATGGTAAGTAAATGTGTACTCTATAGTTACCAATATTGGTTTAGTATGTAAAACGCCACTGTAAAACGATTTTGTATATGCTAAATTCATATTTTTCCTCTGACTTGCTTGCAAATGTTCTCAGATTGTGCCAATCATCAGAAAAATGTGAAACTGCCGAGTAATGGTCATTTTTCGAGTTGGAGGCTGATGGTTTTTTATCGTTTATTCGGTGATATCTGGTGCACCGTTTTTCCCAACAATTTATTATCGTGTGTGACGAGGAATTGCAGCAGATTGTCGAAGCCTCTTCTATTCATTTAAGACTACCCCCCTCGATCCCCGTTTATCTCTGTTTGAGCTAGTTCGCACAACTACGTAGCATGTGGCGCATGTTTGCGCGTTCCATTGTGAATTTGTGCAAGGATCGGCCTGTGCACAACATGTCACCGTTTCAACGTCTGGATGTTTTGTTTATTTCTATTTCTTCGCACAGTTCCCTATTACATCCTATTCCCTAACCATAGGAACTTGTATGAGCTCTTTCGCACAACCATGCAGCACGTGGCGCATGTTTGTGCGTTCCATAGTGAATCTGTGCAAGGATAGGCCTGTGTGCAACATGTCAGCTCGCCAACGCCTGGATGCCATTTTTACCACTATTTATTCACACCGTTCCCTATTACATCCTATTCCCTAGCCATAGGAACTGGTTTAAGCTAGTTCGCACAATTACGCAGCACGTGGCGCATGTTTGTGCGTTCCATGGTGAATCTGTGCAAGGATAGGCCTGTATGCAACATGTCACCGTTTCAACGTCTAGAAAATTTGTTTACCTCTATTTCTTCGCACAATTCCCTATTACATTCTATTCCCTAGCCATAGGTGTGAAAGAACGATGAATGAATGCACTAGGAAACAGGTTGGTACAAGTAGGAAAACCTAAAGTGTTGTACCCCATATTATCTACCCCACTACAGCCTACACAGACTATAGCATATAAGTTTGACACACCCCGAGGGCAGGCACACGGGGCGCGACTCGGGCAGGGGCGAAGCGCGCTCCGGGCAGGAAAAAAAAAACTCCAATTTTCGGTGGGCCCTAGGAAACGTTCCCACTAGGGAACCTGCTCTATACCATGTGAAAGAACGAGGAATGAATGCACTAGGAAACATGTTGGTACAAGTAGGAAAACCTAAAAGTGTTGTACCCCATATTATCTACCCCACTACAGCCTACACAGACTATAGCATATAAGTTTGACAATAGGAACTGGTTTGAACTCGTTCGCACAACTACGCAGCACGTGGCGCTTGTTCGTGCGTTTCATTGTAAATTTGTGCAAAGATAGGCATGCGCTCAACATGGCAGCTCGCCAACGTCTGGATGCCTTTTTTAACACTATTTATTTACACATTAGGGAAGTGCATCCTATTCCCTTGCCATAGGAACTGGTTTGAGCTCGTTCGCTCAACTACGTAGCTCCTGGCGCTTGTTCGTGCGTTTGCTGGTCTCGAACTATGCAACAATATGTCAGAATCCCAACCACTAGACCATTGGGATAAAAGGGCTTGTTAAGTAGCGGGTCAGTGCGCCCATAACCCCCCAGGCCAACATGCCTGTAGCCCTTCCCTAGGATCAATCGGGGATCACCAGTGGACCTCTGACACCCCCCCGCACTGGGATGCCCGAAGTGCATACACCGGGATTCGAACCCGAGACCTTCGCTCTGATACCATGTCAGAATCCCAACCACTAGACCATTGGGATAAAAGGGCTTGTTAAGTAGCGGGTCAGTGCGCCCATAACCCCCCAGGCCAACATGCCTGTAGCCCTTCCCTAGGATCAATCGAGGATCACCAGTGGACCTCTGACAGAATAGGCCTGTGCGTAACATGTCAACTCGCCAACGTCTGGATGTCTTTTTTACCACCCCATTCCTTTGTTCAAAAGAGAAAATTGAAGTCCCATAAAGCTGATGCATCAAATTATGTGACCAGTATGGCTGTTAGTATATTTTACCAGATCTTAAACGCAATTGAATGTATGCGTTTTAGTGATTAATCATATAAAATATCCCGCATGTGTATGATATTGAATACAATGATTTCATTTATGGCCCTTTGTTGCTATCATAGACAGGGATTTTTAAATACCAGTCATTTCACTTGTATGTTTGTCAAATATTTAGCACAGTAATCGGATTTGTAGCTATCATGTTTTTGTGTGTATTGTGAAGTTTTAATGACGCGACACGGACAAACACTTCTGCCGACATTTTTCAACATCCACGTCATTTTGGGCAATCATTGGTTCATTCGATTTACAGCAACAATGTCTGGCGATACGGATAGATTTTGATTGGTTACGAAAATTTTTGTGCGATGAGTTTGCTTGAATTGGACTGCCAGCGCAACGCTGCTGAGCAATCGCGCTGCAAATGCTTCCAGCGCAACCGCTGAATATGCCAACCCAGCGCAGCCGCTCAAGTGCCAGCGCAGTGCAACATTGTGCTGCCAAAGCCAGTGCAACCGCGCAGCAGTTGTAAATGTCGCTGGCGCAACTGCGCTGCTGCTGTAACTGCCTCTGGCGCAATTGCAGCAGCGCTCGCCAAACGCACAATCTCCAGCGTCACAAATTCTCTCCCCTCCCCAATCCCCCCAGCCTCCCCCTTCTCCCCATCGCAACTGCTCCAGCTCTCCCACCTCTCTGAGTCTTATTGCGTGTGTTTCCATTCACGTCTCAGCAGAAGCAGATTGGTGCTCTACGTGCGTTAGTACGCCATTTCCCTTCAGATCTCCGGTCGCCCTCGTTCACTTGCCTAACTTAGCGTGCATCACCTTTAACCGTTACTGCCATGCCTTTCATGTCTGCGTTAGATTTTTGTCAGCCTGTTCTTATAGCTAGGGTTTACTCCTGGCGAGAATCACGGCGGTGGGCGTGAAGTGAACTGCGCTACCTGCTGCTAGCGGCGGAGTGTGTGGTGGCGTAAGGCGCACGTTCTTCTTCTTCTTCTGCTGCTGCTGCTGCTGCTACTGGTGCTGCTAGTAGGATTCGCGACTGAGGGCGTGACGCAGTCTGGTTTCTTGTCAATTTGGCACACGGTCGCTCTCAGTGAGATCCGATCTGTGCTATTGCTCTGCAGTTGCTTGTACGCTTTTGCTCTTTTGTAACATTTGACCGTTTTTGCTGCAGGCCTTCAAGGGAAGCTCCCTCAATGAAATTTCCGTGCCAGCTACTCATCCACACTGCCTACATCTTTCTGTTGTTTTTATGTGCTACCTTATGCAACGGCGATGACAGTTGTTTCACTTTCAGACCTTATTTGTATTGCCGTTTTTTGCAGCGACTATCATTTTTAAAGGTACGTGGTGGTCTCTGCCGTTCCGTGTGATTTCCACCTGAACTGTGTGTCGTTTGTATTTTCAGGAAGTTCAGTGCCGATATATGCGTCGTGTATTCAGCAAAGTTAGTAGAGCCTCTGATGCAATATCTTCATGTATTGTGTACATGCAACTCTAATATAAATATTTTTAACACACACAATGATCCTAACATTTAAACAAATTTGTTACTGATTTGTGTGGTTGTACTAGTTGTTAGTATGGGAATTTTTCGTTCCAAATATATGTGATTTGCTATGTTTGCATAACATAATTTTGCAGATTATATACTTGCCAGTATGGAATTGTAAACAGATGGTGAAACAAATGCATACCAAAGAGTATGTTTTTGTTAGTGAAGTTGGTATCGTTTTGGTATGCATTGGTGCTCTACCGTTTACATACTAATCCAAACATACTAAATACCTACGACGCATGCTACTTTATGGTACCCCTAATGACCCATACTATTTGTATACTTCAGGATATGTTGCAAGTATATCTACGTTATGTAAAACGATTCATGAAATTTGAGATGCTGGTACTCGTAGCTTTGTCAATATAAGGTAGTAAGCTTTCTGATTCTCGAATCCGCATAAGTTTGCTGGCATGAGAATGGCAGCTCCTTCATATACAAAAAAACTCTTCTGGGACTCAGAGGCAGCTAGTTTGCCGGCCAGCAAGGGTGACGATGGACATCCACACAAGCCTGAGAGGTCACGACTCACGAGTCAGATTCTTGACTATCCTTTGCTGTGCATATTTATCCATATGCACAGCTTGCTAGTAGGGCCTGGTCGTCCGCTGCACCACGCCACGACTTGCATGGTCATTCTTGATATTTGTTTTATATGCGCCAAGATGGCATTCACGGCTAGTGGTGAGGTGATTAGCCGGGGAGCCTGGCACTGCTAGCAGTCAAGCTCGAGCCTCACAGCCTCGTCCTCAGCTAGAGAGGTGCCGCGTCCTCAGATCGTCTGCTTCCGGAAGCCAGACTGTCGTGCGGGTCCAGCCAACAACTCTCCTACCGCGTTTTTTCGTCTGCATCCGCCCGGGCTCGAGTCAAGCGCTTTGCACAAGAAAAAACGAGAAGCGTAGAGGAACTTCTTTAGAAACAGTACTAGAAAATGTACAGTAGATAGTCTTCAGAAAGAAACGGAACTGTGTACACTGTACGACCTTTTTCCGTCTATCATGGCGGTCATGCGAATCGCGCAGGCAGACCTCGACTCATCCCCCCCACCCCATCTCGTCCCAGTTTTCCAGAGCATGTGCTGCTGATGCGGTGTTTGCTTCTTTGCCGTGATGGCCTGCAGGTCTCGTTGATCGGCCACTGCTGTGTGGTTCTTGTCGTGTGCTGTGCATCTTTGGGTGATTTGCAGGCCTACCAAGTTGCATCTGTCTTTGCTGAGCTGTATGGTCAATGAAAGTCTTCCCACACCAGGAGGCTACGAAGCTAGCAAGAACTGAAACCAGAAACTGGATACA